GGGAGAAGATCCAGCTGAGAGCAGGGCAGTCGTGGAGGTCTCTGAGAATCCCCAGCAATGACTGAAGAGGGGACAATCCATTCAGCAGAAGACCAAGGGAGACGGAGCAACCTCAGAAACAAGGGTTGGGCCAAGCTGCTCCAGGGCTGAGTTTGTATGAGCTGGGTTGGACCATGGGGAGGAGGTAGATGGATGCTGGCAGTGACGGAGCAGGGGCATGGAGAAGTTACGGGTTGGATTAAACACCATGTCTTCAAGGTTCCATTGCTGGGCCCATCCATGGGGCTGGGTAGCCAGAACCAAACGTGCAAGAACCACGTAGGCAGCTCGCATGGGTCCGTCGTCTTTGGAGATGTGCACTGAATAGCAGAGAGGCCACTTCTGTTTCCTTCAGGAGGGCGATGCTAAGGGCAGAGCTGCTAAGCTGCGACCTTCGCCTTGTCCCAGAGGATCTGGAGTCCTCGGAGCATGTTGCCTGCTGTCCCTGCGTTGCAGCGTTGGCTTGGGATATGCAGTGCAGGGCGACTCTGCTTCAGTCTTGTCCACATCGTTCCCCACGCTCGCAGGAGGGGACCTTCCCAGTGCCTCGCTTGGATCCAGAGGCTTTTGCTTTTCTCCAGAGTTTCTACAACAGACTCTGTGCTGCCGTCGAGTAGCGCTGGCGCTGGTGGGGGCTGTGCACATCCAGCGCCCCAAAGCCTGGGCCAGCAGCAGCAAGCGGTCACTCTACAGCCACCAGCGCTTCATGTGGTCACCACCTCCGTCCCTCCGGCCGGATGCTGCCCCGTTACAGACACGTCCCAGGAGCATCTCATGGGTGTCTGGGCGTGTCTGCCTCCAACAGGGTGCTGAGTCAGCCCAGCCTCGGCACCACCGACCAGCGTGTTTCAGGCTGTGGTGCAGTGCTGAAGAGGCAAAAGCAGCCCAAGGATTTTCCCTTTCATCTGAAAAACCTCATTTTTATGAAAGGAGCCGAGCTTCAGTGAGAACATGCTCAAAAAAAAAAAAAAAATAAAAGCCATTAGCTGCATTGCAGGGTGGGATGAACCCGCCCCCGCTCCCGTGCCCTGACTGGCAGGG